AATAATTAACAATTAAAATAAAATATTATTTCAAACATCAAAGGATCAATGGCCCAATATATGTGTATCAACTATGAAAATCTATAATTGAAAATGAGATAGTAAATATCCTCTCCGCTTACAACTAATCAACAACTAACATTGAACTAATAAATTGCGATTTATGGAAATAATCTGTCACATTATTAGTTTATGAATTATTGCTGTTATAAATATGTATTTAATAAATTGCTGGATTTATCATTGGGTACAGATAAAGCTGATAATGCTCCATTGGTTGTCGGCATAATTTATCCAGGGATCTAATTAAATCAGTAATGTTCAATGGAAAAATTCTACAAACTGTTAAATTACATAATCTAACTGTAACATCAGGCATAAGATGCACTATGATACATATCAACGATAATCAATAATTTTTTAATATGAAAAACAAATCTACGTTACGTTCAATGTCCTACACATTATTTCTATGTCGAAGCTAACACCGATGGACAGTAAAAAAAAATAATATCAATATGATTGATGTTTAACGCAAAATTATATAAACATAAAATAGAAACGTGACAATCTGATAATATATCGACTATAGAAAAATAAAATAGTGACTGATTATATTATCAGTGAGAGGTAAATTCAATGATTTGAATTTCATGTGATATTACCAAATTGTCGTAATTTCTATCAACAAAAAAAATGGTTTTTGGTTTTATTTTTCGTTCTCTTCGAATTAAAATCTGACCGAAGCAGTACTGTTCGTCGGTAAAGTCACGACAATCGTAGAAATTGTCGCACCGATGGGCTGCGGGTATGCAATTTCCATCGGCACATTTAAAATCAGTGGGTGTACAATTTCTTGATCCATTTAGTTTTGTCGTTCCATGATAATCAACGCCAAATTGATCATGATAATCCACTGTATCGGTCATGCTGACTGATGTATTCCAGATGATTGGTGTGCTTTTATGCCATGTATCATCTATACCTAGAAAATTTAAACCCCAGCACGTACGATAGTGCAGGTTTATATCGTTTTCAAGTACATCATTATCATCATCATCATCATCATCATCATCATCATACCTTGGAGAACTATGATTCTATGAGTGAGATCTATTGATTACTAAATGCCAAAAATTCTTTATCGGATAACGTTTTCGGGCTATAATTTTTTAATTAGTCGATAATTTATTATTACCTCGTCTGCAATCTAGTTCATCCTCATTTCTCGAACAGTCTTGTCTGCCATCACAAACTGCTGACTGAGGTATGCAGGTACGATCATGACACGTGTACTCGTTTGCTCTGCATTCACTTGGGGGTGGATAGGGTGGTGTGACACCAGCTGTCAAATAAAAATATCCATCAATCGTAATCAATTTATCAACTGATTAAGATCCCCCAGCTATCAATGAGCTATTGAAAGTGAGAGATTTATTCATTTTTTTTTCTCATTGCTTAGCATTTCGGTGACATGTCTAAATATTATTTTAAAATATCACGCCTCAATATTACCACCAAAAATATTACAGTAAATATTATATACATACATATACATATAAGTAATGACAATTAATTATGAAAATATTAATCACCAACTAATTAATCGTTAATACATCATGTGGACAAATATTATACGTCAACGTATAATACGTCAACGTGTTTTTGAATATTTTGTAAAATATT